CCTTTTCATCCCTTGATTTACCCATCCTATCCCAATTCCTCTATATCCTCAAAACCCAGCCTCTAGGCCCCCTCCTTTAAGGAGGAAGATTGCTCTCCCTTGGTCCTGACCTCAGGAGCATGGGACAGTAGAGCAGTACTTGTCTTTCCCTCCAAAACCTGGGAGCTCTAGGGGGGGTCCAGTGGTTGTGGGGGTGGGGATACACAGAGAGGTTTATTAAAATAAGTGAGCAGCTCAGCTCCACCACTCTGTGCACGCATATTCTTCCTGGTGAAGTTTCCTTGCAGAAAGGACGCAGGTGTGGTCAGATGAATGGCTCTGGAGGGATCAATGCCCAGGGTAACCCACCTGCATTATGCCCTGTGGGGGGGACGGTGTCTGGGGCCAGGCGCTGTCCTAGGCCTGTCCTCTCCAGCCTCTAAGTTCGTGTCCACGGTCTGGACACTCCAGGGTGTCCACGCAGGTGAGCTCTGGTGTGGGGACCCCAAGCTAAGTCTGAGCCTGGGAGAAGCCCCGAGGGCCACGGGTCAATGGCCGCACTTGGATCCCATCTAGCCTGGGGCCTCAGCCATGCACCTGCAGCGCCCAGCTCCAGGATCCGCAGTTGCCTTTCTGCAGAACGCTGGGAATAGTATATATAATTTTCCCCACGGTTTTAATCCTCAAGGCACCTGCCTTCCGGGAAGGGCGCTCAGTGGCTTGACTGAAAGCTATGCAAGCTAGAGGCACGGGGACTAGCTCAGTGGAGCCAGGAGCGCAGCCCAGGGCGGGGATGGAAGTTGGGCGACTCCTGAGAGCCACGCTCCACGCGGGTTTCGTTGCGCCGGGGAAGTCCGCGGCCTGCAATGCCCAGCAACGCACGGTCAACGGAGTCCAGGCCGAGGGAGTCCTGTAGCCCTCTGACCGGTCCTGCTCCTTCCCCTACCCGCAGAAGACCAGAGCCGACACCCTGCCAGACCTGGACCTGTTTCCCAGACTGTAGTATAAAACCTTCAGTTTTCCCCTGAGCGCACGGTGCGGGGGGGGGGGGGGACGATCTCAAAGGACCAGAAAAGAGGGTTCCGGGCTGGCGGGAGGGAACGCAGTGCTGTCCCCACCCACACCTGGCTGCCCCTCATACCCCTATCCAGCGCCCGCCCGGATCTGCACCCCGACAGGCGGCGCGCGGAGGTAGCGAAAGCCAGCCCAGCAGGCGGGCGAGGGAGATCCGATAGATCTCGGTGAACCTTTCCTTTCCCCTCGAGAGACCTCGGATACCGCAGCCCCAGCGTGTCACTTTCTGGATGGGGAAACTGGGGCGCGAGCAGGGTAGTGTCCCCCTGCGCCCTCCCCAGCTTGAAGCGTTAGGAGTGGAATTCCCTCCTCTAATTGTTTGCCTTGGACTCCGGACCCAGGGAGGGGGCCGAGGACTCGGGGCCCCAGGCTGCCCCCTCCTAGTCCCGCTGGCGCCCAGTCCCGACGCCCCAAGCAAACAAGCGCGGTGTTTGCGGAGCGCGCGGCGGGCAGCGTGGCCCAAGAGCGACGAGGATTCAATGGAGCCACGGGCCAGCGGCAGGGACGACGAAGCCGGGGCGGGCGCGGAGATCGATCCGTCGCAGCTGTCGCGGAAGAGCCCGGGGAGCATCCACGCCGCGGGCCCCGGCGCCCCCGACCGCGCGCAGGGATCCTGGGACCCTGGGCCCTCCAGGGGCGAAAGCCCAAAGTCGCCGCACCAGGGAGTGAGGCGCTGGGGACGTCCGAGGGTCGGCCGTCCAAGGGTGGAGCCTTGGGCAGGGCGCAGTCCTGCCCCGCCCCCTCCTCCACCCGGACAGAGTCCCCGACCCCGCCCGAACGAAGGCTGCGGGAGCCCGGCGGCTGCCAGGGGGACGCGCCCGGATTGGCGGCCGGGATTTGGGGCGCCCGCAGGTTTGGGGTGCTGAGGAAAGGGCGGCGCGGATCTGGGGCTCCAGCCGGGTGGAGGGGGCATGAATCTGTAGTTTAGTAAAACCTGCTCCAATAAAGGGGAGAAGGGTTACACAGCTGGTGACTCCCATTTCCCCGGGAGACAGACCCCACCAAGGACTCCCGGTGGGGAAGGACCGCAAAGGGAAACTTTGGAAGCCTGACCCACCCGCCCCCGTATCACGGAAAAGCTGAGAACAGGGAAGGCCGTGGATAAACGATACCGATGAAGCGGGGATTAGAGCTTTGGGTGGTTTTATGGAGGTGGAAACGACAGAGACCACTGGACTCCAGAGTTAGAAGCCTCCAACCCCACCGTGCTTCCCTTGCCGACTCTCACAGCCCTCGGGTTAGCTCTTCCGAGGAGGCTGCTCTTCTTGGCTTCTCCCAGGCCTGGGCTGGCACAGAGAGGGTGGGTGTCTGCCTGTGGCTGCCCAGCGAGAGCTGAGGCACCCCTAGGTGCGTAAGCAGGCGTCAGGAGTCAATCTCCAATTTTCCTGGAGGGGATACTGAGGCCAGAGAGTTTCTGCGACAAGTCTGAAGTCCCACAGGGGGCAGGGATGGGGGCGCCCTGCCCCCATCCAGCACACCCCTCCCTGCCGGCAATTTGCCTAATGACCTCAGATCGATCCAGGCCCCAGCCACCCGCCTGCCCCGTGGCGGCTCAATTCTCTTTCACTAATTACTAAGGGCCGATACAGGGTGCCGCTGGCTCCAGGGGGCCACATTCCCCCTCTGAGGACTAGCAAATTTTGCTCCCTCTCTCCATGGAACCACAGCTTCTACAAAGGCCAGATCCCTGTCCCCGAGGGAGCACAGGTCCCCCCAACTTAAGAAAGAAGGACGGTTGCACACACCTGGATAAGGCTGAGCCTGGGAGGCCCGTCCAATCTAGGGAGCTTGACAGGGGCCTGTAGCCTGGAATCCCCAGGTAGCAGAGAGGGAGCCCCTATCTCAAAGTCCCTGAGCCAACTCTCTCCTTCAAAGGGTGGCTTTCCCCATTTGAAAAGCCATGATGCTTGTTATAAAAATGAAATAATGGAGCTGTAGGGGATGCGTAAGGAAGGGAGCTCCGATCCTAAATGCCTCCCCACCAAGCTGCCCATGGCTGGATCTGGGTCGACTTCCCTCTGAGTTTCCACCAGTAGAGACCTAATCCCCCGCTGCCCTTCGCTGAGCCCGGGACATTATAGTTGTACGGCAGTTGATTGATTTTTAGACCCCACCATTATTTTTAATTATCTGTGATTGTTGCTCAGTAGAATTGGGGACTTCAGGGCCAGCCTGGGCACAACCAGACTCTCCCTTCCCCGGACTTGAGATCTGCAAGACTACCAGGAAACTCACCTGCCCAGACCTGCTCCCCACCCTGTAGAAAAGCGTGAAGATGTGCAAAACCCGAAATTGCACACAAGCCCTGAAGTGGGGAAGTCCAAGGGCCTGTATTTTGGGGTGATGTTCGCTTTAGGACAACACCAGAATGAAGGGGTACAACTGGGGCTTAAACTATAGGGATCCTGTGGTATGAGAAGAATGTGCCTGATAAACAGTAGGTGCTCACTAGATGCTCAATCCTAAACACTAAGTACTAATAGGGGTCCCCTTTAGCCCTATCCCACCCAGGAGTGAGATCACATCACTCTACTGTCTCCCCCAAACCTCAGGTGCTGCGCTGCATCAACGACTCCCGCTACTCCCCAGCCCACCCAGGCACAGCCCCCTCCCTCTCTGTCTGCAGGGGATAGTGCAGCCCCTCCTCTGCACCCCCCCCATCATAGAAGAGAAATGGAGAAAGGGCCTGGTACAGGGTCTGACCTAGTCAGAAAACAGAATCTCCAATGTACAGCCAGGTCTACAGGGGCCAGAGAGTCATTCTGAAAGTCCCAGGCTGCCCAAATGGGTTGCCTGTCAGGGCTCCTTGACTGGGTCTTCCTCCTGCCCTCCGCTGAGAGCCCTGCTTCTCCCTACTGAGATGGGGACCCATGGGGGTTCCAAAATTAAGCCCTAATAATGCTGCCCTTCCCTTTCCCATTCTAGAACATGAACAGATGTCATAGGAAGGAAGGAGGGCTAGGAGTGCATGCATTTTGGATACCCTCCTGACTCCAGACTCCGGCTCCAAGGTGGTGGGACCCTCTAAGCTCTGGCCTGGGCACACTGGATCCTCCTCTCTGACCTGCATCTCGTCTGAAGGGATCTTGTCCACAGAGGTCTCTCTGACCATAGGAAGCCGCCCTATTTACCCCATTTCCAAGAGGACCCTGGCCTCACCTGTCTCAGGTGATGAAGAGCACCTTGGCTTCCTCTGCCCAAGGAAAATCCCAGGGACGTGGAGTTTATGGCAGGGACTTTTCTGGAAACAGGACAAGTGTCCTCAGCCTCTCTGGGCTGGAGGGTGACAGGAAATCTTTAATGGTAACCCTCAGGCTCCTGGCACACTGGGACTGGAGGAAAATAGAAGGAGCTGGAACTGGGAAGGGCCTTTGGAACCCCAGAGGCTGGATATTCCATGGCACGTTTGGGGCAACTGAGGCCCAGGGGGCCAATCTTCACATCTGGGGCAAGGTAGACTGTGACCTCCCTCTTCCCCCACTTCTACCCCAAGGAGGTCATTTGAGGGACGCTGTGACTCTGTATGCCTAAGGGTGGAGCTTGCAGAAGTGACCCTCTTGGTGGGGCTCTGTACAAGGGGTGGACCGGAGCTCTGGCAGTGACCAGTCGCACTCCCAGGCACTCTGTGGAGACACGAGGCAGGAAACTCACATTCAGGGCTCTCTGGTGAGAAAGCAGAGACGCAGAGATGAGGCCCCCTGCCCTCCCTTAGACCGAGGCTGTCCTCAGACCCTGTCCACTGTATCGGGAGTTTCCTGTACTGGAGACCCCAGGGGTCGTAGGAGGGCTTAGGGATACCCAACCTAGAACCCCAGGTCCGGCCCACTCCGGCCAGTCTGACCCACTCCAGCTGGGCGCT